GAAATCCTACTAGTTCTTTCAAACGTCCGGGATAGGAGCTCTGCTGGAAGCCATTACCGCAAATCCTAATCGCCTTTAAATCGAGATTTTCCAGCAAATTGGCCTCGTCAGCCCTAACCAGAGTGCCTACGCAGGCTACGCTCTTATCTAGGATGAAGAAGCTACTCAATTGGTCCGCTATAACCACCGGCCGGCGGACACATCGGCGGTTCGACGAAATTGAGTCCGCATAACAATCGTCGCAATGATAACCCTCCATCCAACTTGCTACAGTCTTCCCCCGAATACAACGTACGGTCATTATAGCTGAATTTAGACTGAAATATAGCCCAAATTCAGCTATAATGACCGTACGTAGTATGCGGGGGAAGACTGTAGAACTGGCTCTTGGCTCTTACTTAAATAGCACTTTCAACTTACCTTCCCCCGAGGCGCCGGTCCGTTCCGAGGTGCTCAATTTTGAGGCTGCAATTCTTTAACAGTCAGATACCTACAGCTCCCACCCTTCCTGCGCTTCTCCCTTCGCTTTCTCTTCCTTCCCCTTCTTTCCCCTCCCTCCCCTTGTTTTTTTTTTTTTTTGAGATCTCAAGTCGACTACTACTATAGCCGGTACTGAGATTCTGAGTTCTCTTGTCTGCTCGCTGTACCCTGGCAATCTCGGGCAGGCTCGTCTTGGCCCGTGCTTTAGTCCGATCCAGGGCGTAACTTGATCCTGCTTCCGCAACCCTAGCGCTTTCGAATTCTAGGATGTTCGAACTGGGCTGTTTATTTATTTATTTATTTATTTATTTATTTTTCCTTAATCCTTCCAAACCCTGTTTGACTATCTAGACTACTATGAACTCGAGTAATAACCCTATGTCAGCCTTTGGTATAGTGAAAGAGGTTGCAATCTGAAAATGTCCGATTTCTTCCGCTTTTTTTTTTTTTTTTTTTTTTTTTGAGCCTTCCGCACCTAAATTCTTCAAGCAAATGGCATTTCCCTCCGAGTGCTCGTGACTTTGTCCCAGATTCCGAAGTTCCGGCGTCAAATATCCCGCCCTCCTTTACCTGAACCTGGAATAACTCCCAAGACCTCAGAATTGGCAAGTCTGATTTCTCAGAGTATGCTCCTAAGCAAGTTAGATAACTCTCCCTACTCCGCCTTCTTCCTTCCTCCTTCTGAACCCAGTCCCCTCAGTCCCATCGCTTCGTTGTGTCAGTGATCGCTACTCCGAATTCCTCCGCCAAACGTTCTCAATTCCAATACGTCTGCGAGTTCGGGTTCCTAGTTGAGTATACTTCTATCGAAGAACTGCTAAATTTCCCGACAGCCTGGTTGTAGCCTCCTTCCAAGCTTATATTGCCAAAGTCAGACCCTGCCTATGGCATCTAGTCTCACTAGCGATGCCATACTATTTCAAGTTAATTCTGAGGTGAGCAACTCAAAGAAAGGAACTCATCTCCGGCCCAAAGTCCTCTCCGATATGGTTTCTACAATCTTAATCCTGAAAACAGAAAGAACGTTCCAGGATTCTCCCCGCCCTCGCCCTCGACTTAGTAATATCCAAAACCGCTATCTATCTGAAGGACTGTTAATCGTGAATTAGCCTACCGAAGAACCGCCCGTCTTGGCTATTTCTCTCTTCGCCCGCAGACCTGTCCGTCTTTCGAGAAATGATAGTAGCAGGATTCAACCAGAGTCTCCTAAGGCGACGTAATCATTCTTCTTCGTACAACGTGGTTTCTACCGAAAGCTCGCACCTCTCAAGAGCTATTCCGAAGTTAGGCAATTCATCAGCCAGAAGAATCTAGCTATGGCATTTTCTCTTCCTGTCATCGCATCTCTACCCAAAGCAATTCCTTCAGGCGGTTGTCTCCAAAGAAAGCCTCATTCCTGCCGCTAACCCTGAGTCCGAGGTGAGAAATCTTCTCCAAGTCGTTTTGCCTAAAAGAGACAAGTCGTTTTGCCTAAAAGAAACAACTCAGACTTCTCGCCCAGGTTCACCGTTGGTTTACCGAAAGGACTCACCTGAAAGAAACTCAGCCCAGCCCTTGAAACGCGAGCGGTAGCTTCGCGTGAAACGAAAAGAATCTCAAAATTCTTACTCACTGCCTTTTCTCCTTGCGCAGGATGACTCGCGGAGCCTCCGCTGTCGCGCCGCCTGGGAATGTATAGATAGACAACGTTTTGAGGCAACCGGGAAGTTTACTTCAAATATTAAATCCCGGGCCTACTCGAGTACTTGGTGGCAGTGGTCCTATGCTTTCGGCCGAATTGGCCCACCTCCTATCGCAGGGAATGGGATAATTGGTAGAAAGAGCCCACGCCAAAACCTTTTCGGTTTTGGACGCCCAAAGTTCGGCCGTTTGGTACTACGGCCCAAACAACTTTCCTCTGGGTGAAAGGCGCCCCTTCGCGCCGTGGACACATCTCCCTGGGCCTGTCTTTACCAGTTCAAGAATTTGGCGCTGTTTATGCTCCAGATTCATGAACCGGTAGGGCCCTTCTTTTTCAAAATCGGGTACCTGGGCCTCATTGTATACTTCAGCGTTACCACCGCCGGCTTCTTTTACATCAAAATGAATCTGGCCCTGTTATGCGCGTGGGCGCCTTCTACAGATTATCCCGCAGGGAATGGACCCACGGTAAGCTCCTTACCTGTTGCCTCAGTAATTCGTCCTTAAGAAAAGGACAACTTTTCCTTCCTAAAAGCTGGCCCAATAGTAGAAGGCCTGGTCGCTGAAATTGATTGATCCGTCGTTCCTTCAGAAAGGGGGTGTGTGGACCAATGAGAAGGTTAAAAGGGCGTCTTACAATGCAGGTTTTCACATCTGCTCCCACTGTCCCACTTCTGCCAGTTTGCATTCGCTACAACCGCGCTCCCTTCTTTGTCTACTTGGCCACGACGGCACAGTTCCCCTGTCTCATTTGCACACGTTTTCACTCCTCCTGCCTTGTCACTCAACCGGCGCGGCTGTCACCCTTTCCCTCTCCCCCTCCCACTCCACACCCCCTTATCAGAGACAGACCTCCCCTCTCTCCCTTGTCCTCCATTTTTATCTCGCCCTCCTCCCCTTCTATTAGATTACCGAGGTGACTTGCGGGGTTCTTTGTCGATAAAATGACGAGCGGATCACCCACTATCTCCAGACGTCCACCATATCCCCTCGTTCCCGCCCATATCCTCCTGCACTGTTGTCGTCTCCTACGGTTTCTTCACATCTGCCTTCACTGTCCCACTCCTGACACCTTCAACCCCTTCTGTGAATTTGATTATTTAAAAATTGAAAAAAAACTCATTGCTTCGCACCTTTCTTTTTTCATCAATCAAATCAAAGGCTTAGTAACATAAAGGTAATGTTGTGGACTGCAAATCCACGAATGATGGTTCGAATCTGTCCCCCATTTTTTTCACGATGGCGCTGTCCCTTTGTCTCACTTGCACACTGCTTTCACTCACTCCCCACTCCTCCTGCCTCGATTTCTCGACCTGCGCCTCTCCCGCCCTCTACCTCTTTTTTTTTCTCTCTCTGTTTCCCTCCACACACCCCCATATCAGAACCATCCCCATCTATTGGATATCGAAGTGACTTACAGGGCTCTTTTCGACAACATGACTGGCGGATCAGTTCTTCCTTCGGCTTAGGAAATTCTGAATGGCTGATGGAAACAGCAAACACGGTACGGTAGCGACCCTTGGTGCATCTGAGTACGGAAAGCAGTATATATCATGACTCCTGTGACATGGTACAGCAGCGCACTTCAAGCCTCCTGAGGTTGGTCTCGTGCTGCCGACGAGACCGAAACCGGTCCACATACGCCAGCAAGCTTTTTTTTGTTTTTTGTTTTTTTTGTTTTCGGGAAGCAAGCTTTTTTCGTTGCCACGATTATTATGAAGAAATCTTTTTTTTTGCGCTATCCCGACCTGTGTCGCACTTCCTCTCTCTCTCTCTCTCTCTCTCTCTCTCTCTCTCTCTCTCTCTCTCTCTCTCTGTGTGGCCTGTTTATCTGATGAGTATGGTTTTTTTCAATGCGTCAGTATTTTCGAGCTATGGCTGGAGTGTTTCTCCGTTAAAACTTGCTTGAACTAGTGTCAGTCAATGCACTGTGTGCTGCTTCATGCGGTGCTCATCTCTATTCGACTTCTAGCGGAAGATTGATTCTCATTTTGCACATTGGGAGAGTTTTGCA